GATAGAAAGAAAATTAGACGGTTTTAGATGGGCAATTTATGTCGAGAAGCTCATTTGAGGTATATTTCGAGCGAATAAGCTATGTTTTGGGTTCAATCATGTTATGAACCCAATTTTATGAATTCCTATAATGTCTACGTTTTATAGGTTGTGTATACGAAACGACGAGCTTGAGACGAGTGTATAGAAGCTCGTAGTAAGGCTGCTCAGTCTAGTCTGATGAAATAATCTTGTGCTAAACTAAGAAAAAAATTCTTCTATAGATTTCATATGATTTCAAGTTTGACACTAATGCATTTAAAAATTCTAGCATATTATAGATATATAGCTGCAATTAATTTATGAATGTAAGTTGGTTTTTATTATGTTACACGTGATTATATGATATTTTATGATCCAGATGATTATGCATATAACATCGATTACTTGCAGGTATTCATTCTGTTATGTTTCACACTTATGATATATGAAATACCTCATTGCAAGAATTATATTTTAGGAAATGTCTGATGAATGGTACATGTACTATACTTTAAGAAATATCACAATGAATGTTAAAAGATAAACTACTACACGGTGCTTGCAAGTATACTATGCAGTGATATATTCCCGACTCCTGATATTTATACGAAGACGAAACTTTAGGAACAGTTGAGATTAAACAGTGACTAAACGTCAGGGAACCGTGAGCATCAGAAGGGCTGTTGATAACTGCTATGTTAAAGAAAACCCAACTTTTATCGATTGTTTATATGGAATTTGAGGTAGGGTGACAACCCATAATGAAAGAACATGGAAATAGTTGAACCTTATACATTAAACAAGTGACATTAATATCTATGAAATGAATGAACATGTTTTTGATTATGTTTATGATTTCATGCTTACAACCTACATATTACATTGTAGTCTTGATTTATGTACATGTTTTCTTATGGTAGCATGTTATGGTTTTTGTGTAGACATGTACAATTTTCTACGAGTATGCAAATTGCTTCTTTTTCACATGTAAAATTTTATTTAAGCCTTAATTATTTTGCTGAGCTAGTTTTGCTCGCTCTACATTGTTGTCTTCTAAGTAGTGGCAACGAGCACTGGGGCGAGCAGCCAGGTGTCTTTGTACAAACTTTGCACGATAGTTTTGAAAGTTTTGTACATAAATTTTTGGTACGCATATTCATTGTTTTAAATTTAGCAGCTTTGTATAGTTTTCATGCTTGGATGATTTGATTTCTACGCTTCCGAATATGTAATTGAAATGCAATGTATCACGTATGTTGGGGCGATCCAGTTAGACTAATTCATCACTCGCTGAATCCTGATTAGAAAAGCCAGGATGATTGCTGGTGAGAATTGGTCTGACCATATTGTCAGCCTCTGTCACACCACGATTGACCCTACTAGGGGGATTAGTTGATTGTGATAGGGTTGGTTTTTGTAGGAAAGAGATCCAACAAGATATCAGAGGAAGTTTTCTAGTAGGAGCAAGTCGGGAATCTCTGCAGTTGGAAGGCAGCAGAGACAAGAAGTCTGTAGGAAATCCGATAGAAACAGGAAGCAGGAGCAGAACTGGTTGGCTGCTGCCAGGTGGAATTGAGGTTGTTGCTTTTGTTTTCTTTGCTGCTGTGGGAAACATATGTCAGCAGTCTAACTGAACCAGAACTGAACAGTCTAGCTGTTGGGAGAATTCGAAGGTCTGCAACCTACAGGAAGAGTGCCGACTGCAGGGAAATGGACTGTCTGCAGGAATGAACAGAATTCCAGCAGCTAACAGGGTTTCGAGGGCAGAGGAAGGGTCTACAACCTGCAGAGAGGGAATTCAGAAGGCTGGTAGGGGTTCCAGCGACAAAGGAAGGGTTTGCAACCTACAGGGAGAGATTATTGTGGGCCAGCAGGGTTTTCGACGGCAGAGGAAGGGCCTGCAACCAATATTTCAGGGACAATAGAAGGACGGCGAAGAAGGCAAGGAGATACCTCCAGAAATCTGCTGCTAGCTGCCAAAGGTGATGATCGTTTGTTGTTTGATGCATGAGGTGACGTCCGCTGTAGGAGATGAGAAATGTTTGCTGCTCCAGAAGGAATGTCTGCAGGAACGTCTGCTCTGGAAGGAACGTTTGCTATGGAAGGAGCATCTGGCTGCTCTGCTCCGGAAGGAACGTCTGGCTGCTCTGCTCCGGAAGAAACGTTTAGCTTCGGGAGGGGTGTTGAATTTGCTGCTGCAGCTGAGGCCTAGGAGGCTTCCGGCAGAGAAGCAAGGGGAATCCAGTTGAAGAAACGTTGTTGTTGCTGTCGCGTCTGCTGTTGTTACTGCTGCAGGAAATGGAGTTCGGCAGAAAACTGAACAGAGGAACAACCGGATGCTGCTGCTATTGACGCTTCTGCTTACTGCTGCTGATCTATAGTTAGTGTTTCTTGCTACTGCTTTCTAGTGGCTGCTGCTACGGGCAAGCAGGAAACCAGATGGATTCTGGTGAAGGAGCAGCTTGTAGTAGAGAATTTTGGCTGCAGAGAGGAGATCCGGAGGCCGAGGAATACTGAGGAGGGTTTGCTGCAGGGAAATTTCAGCAGCAGGGAGGAGTTCCAGCAGAGGACCCGCAGCAGGTAAATACCAGTGGCCGGGAGGACTTCCGACAGCTCAACAAACCAGAGGACTAGCAAGAAGAAGCTTTTACGGTACTGAAAGTTGGAAGTTCTCACAGGAGACAGGACTGTGGGAGGAAGATCCCTTGCCAGAGGAATGTAGAGGAAGGCTGCAGTGAGAACTCCGACCGGAGGCCTGCAATAAGAAATTCCGGTTGAGGGAGGAGTATCGGTTCTGGACCAAAAAAATAGAGGGGATATTTGCTGTCAGAAGCAAGCAAAAAAGGGACCTGCAAGGAGAAAGAAACCTACAGGGAGGGATTCTGGCTCTGGAGGGAGGTCCGACGGTTTTTGCGAAGTTCAGTCGAAAAGAGGAAGCTAGGATTTGTTACGAAGCTCTAGTACCATGTAGAATTACCAAAAAAAATAATTCTAAATAAAAAATAAAAAATAGACTAAATCAAATGTTTTCTAAGATATCCTAAATAAATCCTCCATGATTTGGAGGTGATTGCCTACCTAGATGAGAGAGGTATATATGGAAAGAACTAAATTTTCTCATATTTCCACAATCCTAGAAGACAATGAATTCTAGGAGTCAATACAAAAAAAGAGATAAAAAATTATTGTATATCCTAATAGACAATTTATCTCCTACATGGTTGCTAATTGGTGGTTCAAAATGTTGTAGATTTCATTCCAGAATTGGTTGCTCCAGTCAAACATTCATCAGATGCACCCAACCAAATACGAGTAGGAGAAACAAGTTACAAATTTAATGGCTTGAGACTTTGTTTGTGAGAATACCTATCTATGTACATTTCCAACTTTGATTGTGCCCAAAAAAGATGACTACTTATTCTCTCAGAACATTCTTTGAAATGAAAAATGTGTTTTAAAATTGAATGGAATGAATATGAGCATATATTTTATAGTTGAGTTACCTCAGATACAAAAAGACAATAACTTTGCTATGATGGTGATAGATCGACTATAGAAACCTTTGTAGAAGAAGGAGAAGCCTCTCTTAGCAAGGGAGAATGATGGGGGAGCATCCCGCATAGAATCCATGATTTCGCTTCTGCAAGGCGCCACATTGCTATAGGTTTTGTGATCTTGCGATCCGAATTGCAAATTTGCTGCGACTGATTCTGCAAGCGGAATCGACCCCACATGATTTTGCCCGTCACAAAAACAACAATACCACGAACACGATATGGGTGAACGAGCAATTATAATCCCGTTATCAAATTTCACATGGATTCTTTCTTTTTCTAGTTTATTTCCTATTTATTTTCTTCTAATCAGGGTCATTTCTAGCAAGAGACTATTTATATGTTTATTTTGTCTATTTTCAAAGTCTTTTGACGATTGTTATTGTGTTTGGAGATTGTAATCTCTATTTTATGCTCTCCGGAGTGTTGATCTTTTTTTTGCAATTGGTGTATTTGTATCTAGCTCATGAATAATTGGTGGATCCCCTCATTGATTCTCCGTTTGTTCGCTGTTTTTAGCTGGATAGTCGTTGAAATCAGGCCAACCTAATGTCCACGGCAGATTTCATCCGTCGAACACCACACATCCCTTCCAAGCCTTGCCAACCAACTCATATTTTAATTCCCTCATTATTCCACAACCGCTTCCCCGCTATATACCCTTCCTAAAAACCTTATAGGAGCCCTAGAACAGTATCGTAAAATAAACCTACAGAATATTCACAAGATTTTTATAGATGCACCTATGAGAATATGGAAAGTAATCACCACAACCTGCTGGAAAGAATTTCTGAAATAGAGCCAGCTGGACACAGCCAGCTGCCCTGTTAATGGGAACCAACAACAATATATACCAGAAAAAAAATAAAAAATGGGTACATATATCCTGATTATTGAGATTTGAATAGTTTAAAATAACAAGTAACATGGTTATATTATTTGAATCCATATCAGATAGCAATTTGGTTAGAATTTTTATTTGGTATATCACGTTTTGAAGCTTTGATTAGAATTGCAATCCGCATAAAGTATATAATCTAATACCCACTTATTTCTAATCCCTGACCAAAGACAAACAAAAGAATTACAACGCATTCGCATTAATTCAAATTTTCCAAGAAAAGCCAACCAGATCGGATATTGGAATGAAAACACTAACAAGAACAGCAGTCCAAGCCTCATCATATAATGTATGCCTACCTTCACACCAAGAAGGAATCACGAATTGTGCAACAAGGCAAAGTGCCTCACCAAACCATGCTTTAGAAGCACTTTCAGACAACTTAGATAATATAACTAAAAGTGTTTTTTTTAATAGTTAACAAGTATATCTATCAGTTTAGAACTGTAAACCCCTCTGAGTGCAAGTGAATGAAATGTCACATGCAGACATTAGATAAAATCATATAAAGGACAGTGACACACCTGTTGTCTGTCAAATAATGCAGAAAGATTCAGCCCTTGGGACAATGTAAACATCTCAAATGCGTTCATTGTAAGAGGACCAATTTCATTGTTCTCAACTTGCTCAGTTACAAACAGATCCTACAACATAAAGAACGGAGACACAAGGTTATCTTTCCAGACCTTGTGACATGTTCTTTTGAGTCAATAGCACAGGTTGGATTTAGAATTAGATAAAACTAAAGATAAAAAAACTAATGCAGAACCTCGATATTAAAAGTATTTAAGCCCAAAATCAAATAACAGGCTCAGCTATTTTAAGGATCTCACCAACCTCGAGGTCATTAAAAACAGCATGGATGTCATCCAAATTGACTTCTTCAGCATCACTATATTGAACAGGAACATAATTCCTCGAGAACCATACATCATTACGAATTCCATCAATATGTATACGCTGGAGCAGCAAGATGAGGATTTCAAGTAATAAGATAAAAAAAAGCATTAAAATAGATATGAAATGCAACTTAACATAAAATCACAACAATATTAAGCCAAAGCACCATTTTCATCACAAATGGAAAGCATAAAGGACCTGGCATCCAAGACCTTATGAGATGATGAACTAAATTCATCAGTATCGTTTAAAAAAAAGAGACTCCAAAAAGAACATTATAACAGTTTTATTGGTTCGGTGTGCTATAATACACAACTAAATAACACATTAGAATCGTCGGCACTGCTTATCGTTTATTAAACAATATAAGCTTTAATTACATCAATTATTCTCATTCCATGCATAAGATGTAAACTTCACTATGGGATATGGATAAGAAATATAGCTGATGCAAGTCAACAATAAATGAATATTAGTATTAAATTAAATAAGTGTCTTACATCTTAAATATGATTTCTTGTACGCAATAAGTGCATTATTTCATTTTTATCTAGCTGAGTATTTTAGGTAAGTAATCGAGTCATGTATCTATAATCTTTCTCTCTCTCCCACACCCACCCCACCCCAATCTCTCTACCAACTATTTTGTTAAGGTTCCTCACCAAGAAGTATCAGAGACTTTCCAATTTTCTACCATTCCTCTTCCTATTCTTCTCCACTGCTTATTTATCCCACACCTTCACGCTTGTCCAGACATCTCCCCTTGCACCTACATGATACAACTAATGCACATCCCACTTGAGTCACCCTGCACACATTGACTGGCTTGCATGCCCATTATTCAATGCAGTCAACTGCAACTTAAGTACTTTCCTTCACACTACCTTTCTGCGTATGGCATGCTAGAACCTCCACTGCATGCGTCTCCCACTTCCTCTCCTCCAATCTCATGCTCAAGATCTACTCCAGATATCATCACCTCTTATGAGATTGCCTCTGTCATTGAAATTTTCAGCATATATGTGTCCATCCACCTCAGAACTAAAAGGTTTACCATCTTCCCTGATTAGCATGCACATTCCATTATGAACATATATTTACGCCACACCTTAGCCCGCTGCTTGTTTTATACAATCTTAGCCATGAACTCGGAACTTTTGTTCTCCCACTGACTTGGCATCCTCCAGCACAGGATCAGGAGCATTCAATATTCATTATCATCTCATAATTTCTGATCAAAATTTTGGAAAGCAATAAATTAAAATACTTTATTTTACATCTTCAGAATTTCTTTGTTATCACCAATTTGATCATGTGTTGAAACTTGGCATAATCTCTGTTAAATTGAAGCACTTTTTTAAAGATAATTTAAATTAAATTGCTTAAAAACTTATGGCATACCATCAAGCCTAATCTTAGCACTCATCACGTATTTCACCTTAAAATGTCAACAATTATTCAATTGTTTCTCAGTCTTCCATTTTACGTTTTGCCTCTAAAAATATGATATATTACGATCAATTTTAAATCAAATTTGCTTAACACTAGGCGGATGGTTGGAAATGGATATTGTGGGTTACTTTAGGATGTGATGATGTGATCTGAATTTATGGTGAGATAGGGTCGTCTAGAGGAACGTAGAGATGTCCATACCAGAACCAGGCCAAGGTATCTAGTTTGGGTTGATTTGCTTCTGCACTTTTTGGGACGGGTTTATTGGTAAAAAAATATTATAATTGTTATGGAGATCTGGTTTAAAATGTGAAGACGTGATTTGGAGTTGATGGTAAGGTAGGGCCGCCTTTAGAGGGATATGGAGATGATGATACCAAAACTAAGTTTAGAGGAAACTAGCCTCCTTGACGCAGGGCTCCCTGACGTTGAACCAGCTGGGAATGGATGGACCGGTTCAGCCAAGGGGATGCAAGGGCCGGCCAACTCTTTTTTTGTGGCTAGGGTTGCCACCCAAGGGGAAGGGCCTCCCCCTTCTAGTTATCTACTACATATAGGGTATTTTATGTCATTAGGGATCAGTCCTTGCTTTGAGATTTCTGCCAGAATAGCTGCTGAGTCTATTTTCCCTTTTAGGGTTTGTATCCGACGGCGAGAAAATGCTCCGACTATAAATCATCTTGAGGTGGTGTGTATCTTTCATTTACTGCTTGCTGCCGCCTCCACCTATCCCTTCTTGCTGCTATAGGAAACCCTCCCATCCTACCGCATGCTGCTACCCAACCGCAGCAGGTTACCATAACGCCATTCCCCTCCCTGTTTATTGTTGTTAGACCACCTAGCCTTCTTGTAGACTGTCACTAACACCTATCCTCCCCCGTAAGTCCAGCTGCAAATCCCCTCTCACCTCCCCACCATAATCCAACCAGCCCTCCTCACTCCCTGTTGATATCCAACAGCCAGCCATCCTCTATCCACCTACCCCACTCATCCAACTAGTCCCCTGCTTGCTGTCCTTTCACCATACAACACTCCCTACCATCTAATTCCTGACCTAGACCCTAGTACTCGTGTTTGTGTTGTCGTTTTCCTCTTTTCAAGTGTCTTGTTTGTATCCTCTGAATTTCAACAATAAAAATCTTATTATGTTGTGTTTTGGGTTAACTCCAGTATCAAGTGATATCATAGCTAGCTTAACCTTAATCCTATCCTAGGGTTGCCTAGCAGTCGTCATACCCCAAACCATCTCCATAAAAAAAAAAAAAATTTCTACCAACAAATACTCTTTCCACTCCTAGAAATTCTAAACTCTCTTTTAAAAACGATAGAGCAAACCCTAAACCCTAAACCCATTAACCAACCTTGAGAGCAGGTTAATGTCCCAGTGCTCGTGCATTAAGCTTAAAAAAAAAAGTCTCGCAAACCCACACAAAAGAAATAAAGCACAAGTGGGCCTCGCAGGAAAGAAACTCAAGCGACTCTGATACGCTCCAGAACCAAAACCAGCGAGCAAACAATGACGAAACGACAATAGATAGGTGGAAAAAACTCAAATGAGGATTGCTCTTACGAAAATCAAAGAAAAACAATATACAATGATGATCTACTTTTCGAGAGGTAGATCGTTTCTCCCACAACCCAAGACGTCGCTAGGAACACTAGAAGAAGAAAAGAAAGTGGCAGTCAACAAAATATGCTTAAGAATAACAACTCTAGGTTATTCCCTTTAATATAATACTCCCACGGCACTTCAAACTTCCCCCTAAACTCCAATTTCTCCTCCTAACACACGTGATTAACACCCTTGTGGACCCCTCCTGTTCCCTGGTAACTTTGCTCACTGGATCCTCCGGATGTTGAGTCGTTCGGCTCTTGGATGAGACGGCCGGTCTGCTCGTGTATTGCTCAACCAATCCTGCGCGAATTAGTTGAGTTACGGGCGTAACAATACTCCCACATTGCTTCATACTCGGATGGTCCCTTCCACTTAATAACTCGCTCCTCGGCACTCTCTTTCAACCTCTAAGGGTTCTAACAACACCTCCATGCCTCTGTTATCATCAGGGGCAGTGACGGGGAGGGTGTATGATCTACGATCGCACCCCTCAACTGTAAAACATGGAAGACTGGAAGTAATGTTGACGATGGTGGTAACCTCAAAAGGTAGGCACTACTCCTACGAGTTTTGTCACCTCGTAGGATCTGAAATATCGTTGTGAAAGTTTCTTGCTCCTCCGCTAGTGTTTTTTGCCTATAGGGTCTCGGCTTCAAGTAAACCATGTCCCCCGGTTTGAACCACACCTCTCACCTATGTCCATCTTCATTCTTTTTCATGATCTATTGAGCTCTCAGTATATTACTCTTGAGCTCCGCCAATATTCCAGTCCCTATCCTCCAAGAAGTGTTCAGCACTTGACATCGGTGTAGTAATGTGCCCATAATATATCAGGTGGGGTAGACCCGCCCGTACAAAATCTTGAAATGAGTGTTTGCGTTGCAGAATGGTATGAAATATTATACCAGTGTTCGGCGCATGCAATCCACTTGGCCAATAGCTTCGTCCTATCCGATACGAAGGAACAAAGGTATGTTTCCACACTTTTGTTAATCACCTCCATCTGGCCATTAATCTGAGGATCTGAGGATGATATGTTGTTTGTGTTTCTCTTGAGGATTGTTCCTTGTAACCTGAACAACTCCTTCCAGAACTGATTGAGGAACACCTTGTCCCTGTCGAATACAATTGATTCGAGCACTCCGCGCAAATGAATCACTTTTCGTATGAACATCGTAGTGACTGAAACTGCGGTGTAAGGATATCGTAATGGAATGAAATGTGCAAATTTGCTCAGGGGATCCACTACCACCAGGATCACCATAAGCCCTTCTGATAATGACAAACCTTCTATGAAAGTTCATTGTCACTTCTTCCCAAAGTTTCTCCGATAATGCCAGGGCTGTAACAACTCTCCTGGCACCATTGTCAAATATTTTTGTCGTTGGCACACATCGCAGTACGCCAAAGTGGCTTCTACGTTTCTGAGCATCCCCAGCCAATAAAGTTCCGTCGACAAACGACTGTACGTCTTTTGCACCCCGGAATGCCCCCCGATTGCACTGCAGTGCAACTCCTGCAAGAGTCTGAGGATGTGCTCTGATGCCCTTGGTAACATGAACCGCCCATGGTAGAATAGTTGTTGCCCCCTTAAGGCATATCCCGAATGATTGTTCGGATCCTGTAGCAAGTATGCCCTTACCTTCCTCAATCCTTCATCCTGCTCATTCTCCCGTCTAAGTGCTTTCCAATCGAGGACAATGGGATACAGATAAGGTTGTCAGCTGGGACTCCACCTTCCTTGACATGGCATCTGCGGCTTTATTATCTAAACATGGTCGGTACTAAATCTCGAAATCATATCCCAACAACTTGGATAGCCACCATCCTTTGCTCCAACAGATACTTCAAGTTCTTTGATCTATCTTGACAAGAAAATGTCATCCCAAAAGATAGAGCCACCACTTCTAAATGGCTAAGATAATAACAATCAACTCTCGCTCATACACTGAATTGAGCTTTGCCCTAGCACTGAGTACCTCGCTTAAGTAAG